GACTGGCAAAGGACCATATTCCCATGCTGACCCCGCATTAGTACCCTGCATCCCACCCACTGTGCCCGGCTTGTACCCTGTACCATGCTGTGCCCAGCCTGGYCCCAGGTCCCAGGCAGGCAGCAGGACATTCCCATACAGGTTCGTCCAGGCAGGTCTGGGGCTGTGACACCACAAGATGCTRCCAGCACTGGCAGTGGGGCACATAGGGTTGGGGACAGCAGTGTCTCCGGGGAGAGGACACTGACCTCTGCCTTTTTTAGAYGGAGTGAGGTGACATTGCCTTACAGGTGACACCCATCATAGAAAAGATTTGATTTTGCTTTTCCACCCCTCAGGGATTCCTCACATTGTCAAGGTGCATGAGCAGTCTCAGGTACCTCTGGCRAACTCCAGCCAGCTGTGCCATGATTTGGGCACTGGGTGCATCCCTGTTGCCATCACTGCCATGGGTTTGAGCCCCCACCTTATTCCCCCTCCCCACTTCCTGGGATGTCATACCTCAGCTGTTGCCTGTGGAGAGGAATAAATCATGGAGAGGGGGCTATGCATTGGAAATAGGGGAACAAAATGGCTCTTCATGCCATAATCCTTTGTAATAAAACACCAGAGCCAAGAAGGATGATAAACAATGTCTCCTGTGTGAGCCAGCTGCTTTCTAAAATAAAGCGCTCCTCTGCTCCGTCAGCTGCCCCGGCCCGGGCGCAAGTGCGGGTGCTCTGCAGACACCGGAGCCGCATTCCCGCAGGAGCAYATGCTGCCGCAGCTCCGGGCACGGCCCCTCGGGCCCGCGGGAATCTGCAAAATGCAACCGGGGGCGGGGGGCAGAAGTGAGCACTGGGTTCCGGCCGCTGTCAGGAGCCCCCGAAGGGCTCGGCATCCCTGGCGCCAGCAGCGCGCGTGTCGCCCGGCCAAGGCACGCAGCCAGGCTGCTCCCACCTGCGCCTTGTGCCGGCCACAGCCCCGGCAAATGTGTGCGACTGCAGGGGGCTCAGTGCGTGACTTCCCAGCTTTGTTCAGAGCCAGGTGCTGGCAGCAGCCTGGTCCTGAGCAGGAAGCTCTGCGTGCTCCCGGTTCATCACTACTCATGCTGAGCCCTCTCTGGCAGGGGATGAGTAAGCTCCTGCTGGTAAACCTGACCTCCAGGGCATTATTTCAAGAGCAGCAATAACTTTTCCACTGCTGAGGAAGGTGTTGGGTTGTGCTGAGTGCRTGCAGCCCACAGGCCACTTTCCTAGCCCAGGTGTCTGGAGATTCCTGTCTTGCTACGTGTGTACCTTTGCACCCGTTGGTCAGGGATGATGACTTTCCCTCCCCACGGCCAAACACTCTACCCAGCACAGTGATGGGGACAACTTGTCTGTTCATCCTTCCTGTGTCACCAAGTGTCCCCATCACACAAAACTCTTGCACTCCACAGTGGCTTACCACCAACTTCTTGCCAAAGGAACATGGTCACTAGCCTAGACAACACTTTCATTTCCCCATTATTGCTTATTCTCTTCTGCTTTCCTCTTTCACAGCCACATGCTTTCCTCTTTAACTATCCCCATGCACGCACACACACTTCCTCCCCAAGCACTCCCAGCAGAGGCTTTCCCTGGCAGCTCATGTTTGCTACTCTGCCCCTTGCTTCCCCTCGCCACCCTTGCCACTGTGGAGGGGTTTGAGCTTGGCAATGTGTCCATGTGGGCAGCAGAGACCTGGCAGGGAAAGGCTCACCTGAGTGACGCAGAAGTTGTGACATGTCTTTTGGAGGGAATAGGGAGGTGAGGGTGGTCAGGATCCACCCTCTGGGGAGCTGCAGCATCCTCTTGTCTGTGCAGCCTGGCTTCACCTTATCCTGTTTGCTCTGGTGCCAAACACATACCTTCCAAAGGTGGTTTGCTTGGACTGATCATGGTTCAGGTTGGGATTGGCAATTTCCTGCCATGCAGGAGCTGCCACAAGCCTCGATCACTGACACCTCTTGGCTCTCATTACTTTCTGCTGCAGCTCTGGGGGCTGCCAGATGGCGAATGGCAAAGTGAAAACCCGGCTGCCAGAGTGCAAAAGTCTCCTTGTCCTGGGTGAGTTGTGCAACAAACCAGCACAGTGCTGCATGGCATGAAGAAGGGAGCAGTGGGGCACAGGGGAACCCAGTGTAGGGCCATGCACAGGCTGACTCAGGCACCTCCTGYCAGAGATGGGGTTATTATCCTCCACACATGTGTGTGTTGGGCCAAATCCTCTCGTGAGTCAGAGGGGATGGAGCAGGGGCAGGGGCAGACACTCATCCCAGCCGCAAGCCCTGATCTGAATTTACCTCACACTGCTGGTCACCAGGTATTTGCCCAAATTCCTCCTGATGGTGACTCAGCCTTCTCCTCCCTCCTCTGCAGTGAGGCCACAGCTCACCACCTCACTGAGCATGGGAGCAAACCACCCAGAAGCAGCGGGATGGGCTCTGGACCAGAGAGGCATGGATTATATCCTCCTGGCATTGCCAGGAGGGGCTGACATGGGTAACCCACATGGTGCCCAGCGAGGGAAGGGTCACAGAGCCCTGCCAGGAAGGCCCARCTCCTGGGATGGCACTGTGTGTGGGTGGCTGCTGCAGCAGCCCATGATGCCAAAGTCACCACATTTCTAGGGGACACCTATCTGGCAGGTGTCCTGGCCTCCCACACCACTAGCAGCTGTGGGCCCACGTATGCCAGAGTGAAAAGGGGAAGGTCWAGGGTAAGCAGGGAAAGTGTTGATATAAAAGGCTTTCTGTAATAATTCTCTCCTTACGGGCTCATGCTCTGCCAGCAACAGGGACATTTTGGGCACCAAAACCATTTTGGTTACCAATAGAAAACTTTTTACCCTCAGTCTTGAGGACAGAGCATTTAGGCAACWTGTTCTGGTTCTTCCTGTGCACCATTCTGGCAGGGATATGGTTGGGAGAAGTGCCTCATTTTAGATGAAGACAGCCACATTGGCCATAAAACACATGGAGATGTGTCYGCTGGGGAGCCGCTCCCAGCTCCAGCTGATGTCCCTGGGTCTGGGCTGAGACTGCCAGCTCCTGGGGTGGCTTCCTTGGGGCGCAGACCTGACTGTGCCAGCACTTAAACCCCGTATCTAAACCTGTGTCTCACCATGCCCAGGTTGGCCACAGTGACAAAGCAACCCAAACCCAGATGCAYCAAGACCCCTACAGCTCCCCAGGATGCATGGGGGTCCCATGGGCTGCTTCCACAGACTCAGGGTCAATGCWGGAGCATTGGCAGCTTCTGGCATGGGCCAATCCCACCATTTGGAGCAACCCACAGCCCTGGTGCTGGCTGGCAAACAAGTTGGCTATGTAGGATTGGAGTGCCCAGCACCCCTGGCAGGCTCTGCTGCCTGTGTGCACAGCACGGGATKAGGGGGAAGCGATTGTAAGCACAGCAGTGCCAGGGAGGGGACACTCCTGCTGTGGCCTTGCAGATGCCCATGTGACTCAGGGAGAGATAAGTACCCTGGTGCTTTTCCATGCCCGCAGAGGGGCCCGTTGCAGCACGCAGCAGGGAGAGGCACTGGGGCGGTGTCAGGAGCAGCCAAGGTGCTCTGGGCAGCCACTGAGGCCTCCCCACCCCAAAAGCAATGCTGAGAAGGGGCGATCAGCACTGCCACTTCRTGCTTCCAAAAACACGTGCTTCCAAAAGCTTCACTTGGTTCGAAACAGGCTCTGGCTCTCAGGGATGGGGAAAAGGCTCAGGCTGGCTTTACCTGCCTGACCCTGCCCCTTGAGAAAAACCACCCCTGAGCCGGGACACATTGTCACCCTGACAAACTACCCTGGCAGTTGGCACTGGGAAAAGATTCCTTTGTCCAGGATAGGGCTCTGTCCTGAGGACATCAGGGTGCTGAAGGGGCACAGCAACCCTGGCATATGCTGGGGTTTCCCAATGCTCAGCGCAACATAGCAGAGGCTCCAGGTGGGCCTCTGCATTACTCCCCACTGCCCTCACCCCACATACGCTGCCCCAAAAGGGCACAAACACCAAATTCTTACCTGCAGCTTTTTCAATTCTGCTTTTTAAGGGGTGGAGGCAGTGGCAACCACACAGGCAGTGTTATTTGCAGTCCTTGGCAGGCAGCGTGGGTGGAGGCATCAGGCAGATAGGCACCATGTCCAGACAAGCACAACAGCCCTGTGTTTGTCCCCAGCTGACCAGGCTCACTAGGAGCACTGACCAAAACTGTTGGCTGGCAAGTTTTGGCCAGTCTGCCTCCACCTCCTCCATAAGTGGCCTGGTCTGTCAGTGACCCTGCAGTGGAAAGTGGAAGTRGAAGTGGGGAAATCTTGGCAGTAGCCAGGAAGCCTCAGCATAAACCTGGAGACACTGTCASAGCTCACTGACACTGTGCTGGAAGTCAGCTGGCAGGACCCAGGTATCTCCACCCCTGCAAGGGAGGGATGGGATCAGCCCAGAGTATCAAAGGGGTTTACTGCATTAAACTCACCCTTACAGGGCTGCACAAACCACCTTTAGCCAAGGGTAGGGGTGGAGGTTGTCTCAAGGGGAACAGAAAAGCAGTGCCAGGAGAGCTGTGCTCCAAGAACTGGGTGGGCAGAGCTGGCCTGGCCACCACACGAGCAGGACCCAGGCCAGCAGCCCCACTGCCAGCCCAGCTCCACAGGGTTTTGAACAGGGCACACCAAGCTTTCCAAGGCAGGAGGCTCAGCCTTCACATAGGCAAGGCCCAGGTCAGCCTCTGCTTTTAAGATGCACCAAGAAACCACAATGGTGGTAGAGCACAGTGGCCACAGTCACACCAGGAATGCTCCCAGTTCCTCCAGGAACGAGCCCCAGGCAAGTGCCACCCTGGATTCACCCYGCAGGGAACCTTCCCACATAGCCTGTGAGAAACACTGACCAACCAGCACTACTGCAGCACCAGGCAGAGACCTCTCCACCCTCCRGGGCAAGCCAAGCTACAACCAGAACCTTTGCCAGGGAAAAAGCCACAAGCCAACAATGSATAAGTAGATCATTACAATTTTTTATTTTATAATAAACTTCTCATTTTTCCCCCAAGGAAGACAAAAAACAGTGAGTGAGGCTACAGAACACTGTCAGTGAAGAATTTACAAGACAGACCCAGGCCAGAGGTGAGGCCAGAAAGGTTCCCCACTCCTCCAGGCAGAAGGGGTCCATCTCCAGAAGCCTCCATGGCCCTTGCTCATCTCCCCACTGCATCTGAGCAAGATCAATGCTGTCACAGGAGGCAGCTGAGCAGCAGAGATGGCATTGGGTCAGGCTACTGATGGACTGAGAGGACCACACTTTGCCCCCTCACCTGCCAAAGCTGCTAGCAAAGTGGGACAGTGTGTTAGGWGATACAGCTGTTTTCTATACATGTACGTGATGTAAATTTAAAAAAACCCACACGATTCATTTCAAAGCAAAATAATTGAGTAGTCGCTCTTCCTTCCAGGCAATCTCTCTCTAGGAAGACTTCACACATTCCTTCTCCTGCTCAATAGCTGCAAGAAAATAGAGGCCCGTTAGACTCTAGTGCTTTTTTTTTTTGTGGAAGCACACACCGGAGAAGGCTTCAAAGGATTCACTCAGGCCCTGGTGTCCAGTTTTGTGGTTTGACCGCCAGTGAGGTGGTTTAACAGTCAAGTTAGAAGATGACAAGCACACGCGCATGGCAGCAAGTCGGGCACCTGTCTGCGTCCGTCCACAGGAAAGTGATGTCCTGAGGCATCAGTTTGATGCAACAGCCCTCTGAGTGCCCATGCCTTCTGCCCCGGGCTGCACACACCTTTGCTCGTAGCTTTCTCCGGGCCAAAGCGCTGCCACCCCAAACCGCTCCTCTCCCCTGTATGCCTCGGCGGCAAGACCGGCCCCCGAGGGCACTGCCCCGCCGGCCGCGCCTCCCTCCCCGCCTGCTCCCGGCCCCGCACTCACTCTCCTTGGAGGGCAGCGTGTTCTTCTCCTCCGTGTTGGTTTTCTTCAGCTTTTTCTTGTCGAATTTCTCCACCTCCGAGAGGTCTGGTTTATCGCACATTTTGCCTGCGAGACCCCCGCCGCAGTCAGCCGAGGGATGGGGACGGCAAGACAAAGGCGGCCCCGGCCCCCCCCCCGCGGACAATAGCGCAGGGCGGGGCGCGCCGCCGCCCCGGGCACCGCGCCGCTCCCCGCACACGTCGGGGGAGCCCTCCCCGCAGCACCCAGCCATGGCCCCCCGGGGCGCCCCGGGACCCACCGCGCCCGCAGCCCCACCCTGAGGCGCCCCGGCGAGTCCCTCCTCGCAGCAGCGCCGAGCAGAGCCCCCCCCGCCGCGGCCCAGCCCGTACCTGCGGCGCTGTGCGGTTCGATGTGCGGCGGATGCGATGTGTGACCGGTACCGGTACCGTTCCCTGCGCGTCCAGGTGAGTCTGGAGCGCGCGCCGCGCGGGGCGGAGCCTTTTATAGCCCGGCCACCGCCCATCCCGCGCGCCCATTGGCTGCCCGCTCGCCGCGCTCGCCGGGAAGCGCGTGGCCCGCCAGGGGGCGGCCGCTCCCGCCGTGCCGCGCGACGGGGGCGCGAGCGGGGCCGAGCGTGAGGGGCGTGAGGGGGACACGGGAGAAAGGGGGCGCCGCCGAACGAGGGGATCGCCGCGGACGGGAACACGGCTCACGCACCCTCACAGCACACGCGGACACGGGTCACACAGCCCCTCGCACACCGGACACGAGCACGGGTCATAGCCCTCACACAGCCGTTTCACACAGCCGCTCCCACTCGCAGACACAGCTGCCCTCACACACCCACATACAGGCATGGCTCCCACTGCCCCTCCTGTGCGCACACGCACCTGGGTGCCAGCTGTGAGGGGCGGCAGGCTGGTCCCCATGAGACCAGATRACTCCAAAGCCACTGTCTCAGCCCCAAACCCTCCCCAGAAGCGGGTACCCCGCAGCTGCCGGAGGCAAATCGACCCCATATGTGTGTCCAAGGATGCTTTCACTGCTGAAGCAGAATTTGAATAAAGCGAGCCGTGGGCTAAAACCAGCACCCTATTCTCACCTGTGAGAGGTGCTTGGCCACTGTGCACAGCTCGTGGCTACATTGGCTGTGGCCACAGCACTTTCCTGGGGTGATGTGGTCACTTAAGAAGCAGCACGGGTGGGCAGGAAGCTGACCATACTGACAGGCTCTTGCTTGGCTGCAGCAAGCYTGGGGAGCAGCCTGAACTGTGTAGATGGGCTGGTGTGCAAGTGGAAGAAATACCTTTGGTGGGAAAAAGCCAAGGGCAGTGTAGGTAGCCTATGTGATCCCAGCAGGAAGGACAGTGGCAGTCTGGGGGCACCTGCATGCTGGGCACCAGGACAGAGGGGGTGGAGGGCCAGGATGGTCCTGTAAGTGCTGAAGAGAGTGACGGGAAGGGAAGGAGGCAAAATAAAAAGTATCATCACTGCAGGTGAATCTTGCCAAAACCTCTCTGCAGAGATCTTGGTGTCATGGTGAGCAGGAACCTGTTGCAGAGCACCAGGGGTAGCAGCTGTGCTGCAGCAGCTCTCACATCCACCTCCTCCTGTCCTGCCAGYCTCTGGGTTTCGGTCAGGGCTTATTGGAGATTTTGCAAAGAAAATCCTCAGCAATCCGGAGGAAACACTTGCTTTGTGTTCTTTAGCAAGACGACTGCCGTCTTGGCAGGAGGGACTGGTGCTATCCAGCGACAGCAGGTCATGGCCGGAGGTGGCCCTTTGCTGCATGCCCYGAGGCACCTTCTTGCTCCAGCCAGAATATGGGCTTTGAATTCAAGAAGTGCCAAGTGYTGGCAAATGCTGATGAGGCAAACGCCAAGATCCAAGGCCAGGTTGCTCCTCCGAGAGGAGTCTGGATGGCAAACAGCCTCCAGTCCCTGTGCCCGGGGGCTGGAAGAAGAGGCTGCAGGCAAAGCTGCAGGCCAGGCGGCTCCAAAGGCAGCTCTGATTTGGTGGTGCAGCCCCTGGCAGGGTCAGGTTTAGAGGGTGCCACGAAGCCAAGACCTGCAAGCACAGGCAAGGCTGCCTTTACAAGCATATTTCAAACCCACCCTGCAGAACCTGCATCACATGGCCCAGCCCCAGTGAGAAAAGGCTCATTTTTCCTGCACAGCAAGAACCAAAACATCCATGCAGTTTCAAAATGAACGCAGGAAATCCTTTTTGCTTTCATGCAAATAGTCAGACGAGTGTTTTACCATGTGTTTACTCTCTGGCTGCGCTCACCTTCCCCTCAGCTTCYCCCTTTGCTTGCCTGTTCTCCACATGCTTCTCCTTTGTGGATGCTGCAGTCTGACGTAGCTTTTGTCCCTGGCAGGCAGCGGGTGTGAAAGAACCTGATCCCCACCCTGCCTGTGCACAGCCCCTCAGCAAGCACCAGCTGCACCCAAAAACGTGGTCATCATGCTCCCAGCTCCTCAGCAGAACCAGCTGCACCCATCACAGCCAAAGCACAGCCCCTGGGCAATGTGTTGCATCTCTTGATACTGCAGCACTGGACAAAACTCCCGGGTCTTTTGTCTGGGCTCAAAGCCACCACGGTGGCCACGCAGGCAGGGGAAGGGGAGCTCCCCTTTCCCTGAGCCACACAAGCACCACCACACTCGTACAAACCACGGTCAGAGCAGCTTTAAAGCCAACCCTGTGCGCTGCCAGCAGGGGAGAGGTGGGGCTGCTGCTGGGGAGCTGCTAAAACCCATCTTGCACAAAGAACAAGAAAGGAGCTTATATCCCAGCAAGAGCTTTTTCCCCTGACAAATTAGCAAAGCCTCATGTAACTGCACAACCAGTTTCTTTCTTACGTCTTTTGGCATTTCTGCTTTCAATAATTTATAACAAAAGAACTGAGACATCAACAGATAGAGGGAAAGTGAAAACAGCCCTGACCTGAAATAGCACAGACTGACTGCCAGCCATTTTAGATGGGTTTTAAATCTYGTACAAAACAAGGCTGCCAGGGCTGATACAGCCTCCCTGATGGCCATTTCCAGGAATGCCTTATTCTCCTGTACAGGAAGGAGGCAGGAAGTTTTCTCCGATCAGAGGTTTTTCTCAGCCTCCTGATGCTGTCTGCAGTGAGCCAGCATCACAGGTCCACAGTACTTTTCCCCATTTTTACGCCAGCCTCCTGCCACAACCTTTCATATCCATCTCAGGGGCTCCATCCAGGGCAGGAGCAGAGGGCCCTGGGAAGGCAGCAGCATACTGGGGCTGTTGTGTCTTAGATAGGCTCCTTCCTCCTTTGGATGTTGCTGCTCTTTACAGAAGAGCTTGCTAAAATAATTTTTCCCCTTGCCCAGCAGCAGCAAGACAAGGTGCTGCTTTCTTTAAAAAATCACAGAAACAAGACTCCAGGAGACCTCCTTACATCAGTAAGGCAGGAGGGAGCTGCTGGCAAATGATTTTGAGATATCTCYTTTTGCTTTAAACAGTGGACAGACACATCCTGCTACCTGCAAGGCACACCTGRTAAGCCCAGCTCCCACCCTGTGCATTAGGTGCCCAGGCAGGTGAGCTGGGCTGACACAGGGCTGATGACTGGTGTGTTCCTTGTTGCTGCTGAATTACCAGCAGGCAGCAGACGGGCATGAGATGGCTACTGGCACCATCCTCAGCAGCCTCACCTGCACCACACTGTGGCAGAGGGAGCTGCTGGAGCTCTGTCCGGCTCTTCCATGCCTCCAACTGCAGAAGCACAGCACATGACTTGGTTGAGATTTTCTCCTGGGGTGTAACTTGTTTGTTRTAGTAGTAGTTATTCAGGCAGCTGTGAGGAAAGCCTGTAACACCCTACAGTTTGCCTCCAGRCTGGTAAAATCTCCATCCCTTCTGAAGGTTTCAGAAGGGTAGCAGCGTAACTTTATACAGGTATGAGAACTATCCCAAGGAGGTGTCTCCTTCCTTTTGAAGAGTTAGTGTCATACAGCATTTGAAGTCTGCCCTCGCACGACTCAAAGCCCTGGTCTTATTAAAGTAAGAAAACATTATATACTCACTAATAGAAATGGTCTCCTGTACAAGTGGCTGTAAAGCTCATTTTTTTTTTAATCAAAGGAAGATGAAATCTACATCATCCTGGCAAGACCCACAGCACCCACCCTGCTATTTGGGGAAAAAAAAACCCCCACATTTTTTCCACTTATTTTTAAGACCTTTCTCTAGACCTGCCATCTCATCCTTCTAACTTCATTTATATTTGCCCATCTGCAAAGCACAATGAGAAGGATCAGGGTYTAGTCAGAACCAGTGCTTCTCAGGACATAATCCCAGTGTCTGATCATCAGCTTGGTGCAAGATACTTACAAATTCGTCATTTGTACTGGTTAAAATATTCAAGCTTCTCCCACCTGAACATTATGTGAACAGATCTGCTCAGATACATAATTGAACAGTACAAGAGAAGCTGGACTACCAYCTCGAACAATTAAGTCCAGGAAATCAGATATGGACAAAAGCCACTGCTCACTGCTTGGTCCCACACTTTTCCTTTCATGCAATGTGAACAGAGCCAAGCTTGAACCTCACAGCTGGCCACATGCACAAGGGTTAAACCAAATGACCTTCCAAGGTCCCTTCCTAATAAAATTACTGCATGATCTGCCCTTAAAATGACCCAACCCTGAAGATTCATGTCACTTAAGATATTTAGAAGCATTTATAGGCAGAGGACGTGGTTTTTAAATAAAAGTTTAATTCCTTCATCAGGTCTTAACTTTAAACACAAATGCTGCTGAAAATCCTCCCAGCGCTGCTCCGATGTCCTGGCTTTTGGCTCTCAGAGCAGCAGCAGGATGGCAGCAGGGGCTCCCATACAGGAGGTGGGATCACAGACTCTCAGGAGAGCTCAGTGCAGGATGCAAAGCAAAGAAGCAAGAGATGCACAGTTTCCAGACAAACACCAGTTCTTATACAAAAAGAAAAGCTCTACACTAATAGAAGTGTTAACGTTGCCACAGGACAGGAGTTTAGGAAGGGAGAGAAGTCTTCAGTGAAAGGCACAACTAAACAAGTACTTCCCTAGATTTTAACCACATCTTTCGGTTAGTTCCACTTATACCCCAGCCCCCAGCCTCTCCAAGCATGCTGGTACTGTAGAAAGTAATTTCAAGTTCCTTCTTTTCCCTTTTTCCCTTCCTCCAGCTCAAAAACAAATAAAAGAGGAGTGCTTATTAAAAAAAAAAAACAAAAAACAAACAAACCCAAATAAAACAGTTTGGTCTATAAACCGTAAGAGTTCAAGAGAGACTTAGCAGTTTACCTTACGATTGTCTGGTACATTTTCTAAGTATTCAAGTTTCAGATGATACTTATTAYATCCAAGAGCCTCAGCCAGCTCTAGTTTTGGTATATTTCTTTCAGGCACTTTTGTGGCCTGTCAGGTCGGTGTTAAATCTGCAGTCTTCCCAGTACTATGTATCACCAGC